TTTTTTTATTGTCATGAAATCCAAAATAACAAAAGAAAATAAATTTTCCTTCATTTAAAAATAAAATAATAAACAAATAGATGTTAATTTTTTAATAAAATAAGTTTTAGATAATTTTTAAATTCTAAAATAATACATATATCTTTTAAACAATTAAATTTAATGATTTATTATATAGGTTTTTAAAGGTTTAAAAATAATAAACTAATACATGTATATATATTCTGGGGGGATGCCCCCACTAATCCCAATTAAGTTCCACCCCAAATTATGGTTGATAAAATGCATGTGTAAATTAAATGTTATATGATGTTAAATATGTGTATTGGCATATCCCAGACTATTTAAAGAGAATATGTGTAATGATGTGGTACATCGGTGATAAGATGTATTGGAGGTGCTGAGTCTCATTTTATATGTTTCTGGGCATCAGCATCGATGCCTTATAAATAATAAGATAATTTTGAACGAGTCAAACCCAATTAGAATGATCCAATTCAAATTCAGAGAATTATATTAATGATAAGAGTACCCAACAATAATTTACGCATCGTTAAAACCTTGAATCATGCTAAACATCTTCATGCTTAAACCAAAACATACATAGAACCAAATTTGGGAGATACCAGCACATGGAACTGTGAAGTTGCAGCCACTTTGGATATGGCGACTGCGAATTTAGCATCTTTCATTTTCACCATCTAAACAAGCAAGGCAAAGTAGAGCAATGGAATCCCCCATTCATCGTCAACTTTGGCCTGCTGCTAATCTTATGAGCGCCGAATATGTTCCATCACAAGCAATCAAAATCCCCGCAATGCCAATGAAAATGCACACTCCGGTCTGATTGCCACAAAATATTCATGTCAAATAAATTGTAAGCATGAATACACTAACCTTGAAGAGCTGAAATTAAGGATTCTTACTTGCAAATTGGTTAATTTTCCGCCAAGTATGCTGATATAACAGGCACATGGGAATATAATAGTCTGTATAATAAAACAGCAGACACAGAGATCGTTTAAGAAAATACCCGTCTTTTTTAAACTTTCTCTAATTAAAGAACTTACAATTAGCATTGTGAGCAAAGATCCAGCCAATGCCATGAGAAAAGCTGCAGGAAAGAAAGGTTGATAAATGAACATAAAGGCGGTATAGGAATGAATTGAACTGTAAATTCAAATTTGTCCTTTTTTTTTACCGAAGAAGGGAATTGTCATTGCAACTACTAAAGTTGAAATCGTGAGGGCTGTTCTGATGAGTATGGAAACATCATAAGATCTCGACCATGTTGAAGGTACGAGTTCTTCTAGACTCGATGCGATGGGAGTGAGTGTCAAGGCATACTTTGATATTGTTATAATCACCTGATGGAAGACAATTGCCATTTTTTCAGGGTCTTGGAAATGTGTGAACAAGGATGGCAATAAAGTAATAGCATACATACCACTGTCGAGACTGCAATTTTAGAGGCTGCGAATTTTATTGGCATGTTTAATGTAAACTGAGATTCAATCGAGTCACCAAATATCAGAAAACCTGAGATTGCTGCCCCAGTGCAGATGAACCAACAAAATATAAAGCTGAAACACAAGAGACACAAGTTTAACGAAGTGAATGTGAAATTCTGTCCATAAATAAGTTAAGGTGTAATTTTATGTTACCTGAGTATAAGTACAAGTGGAAAAAGTGAAGGCTCTTTCATGAAGAATAAATATTTGGAAAAACAGAATGGCCTGCATAGCAGAAACTGTATATACCAACTGAAATGGGTAGGTTTGTAAGGTAAGAGCAGTTCCAGCTCGATGAAACCCGGTTTGATCGACAGCCCCGACCCATAACAAGCAAAGTACCACTAAAATTGATGCTCCTACTCCACCAACTGAACATATCAAAAAGTTAAGATCAGCAATCTCATAGCTTTAAAGCTCTTTAAGGAGTGAGAAATTGAACCTGAAAGGTATGACAGCAAACTAAGGTCTCGGAGATAAACTGTTGGGAGAACAATGAGAATTCCTATGATAGCAAATATTTGATGAGCATTAAGATATATTCCACCAATATGTATGATGGTGTTCGGGAAAATCGTGGACAGGTTGTCGCTCATGATTATTACGTACTCGACGCACGCAGCCTGCAGATTATAGACAGAGTTCAATATTTTAGTGCAGATTCTGCAGAACATGAAACTGAACCAAGAAATCAACAGATATGAAATCATTGTACTTACATATAATTCTGCATACAGAGTTACCTGCATTTCACCAATTACAGCCAAAGTGTCTTGTGTTAGTGACTATGTCAATGCAATTGCAAAAGAAAAAAATGTACACAATTTGAACTTATAATCACACTTACAGCTATAATAAAGCGACCGGCTACACCGAAAGCAGCCTGTCCGATATCGGGATAAGTGTGTAGACCAGGAGAGCTTTCTAAACATCTCTTTAACAAAATCCCAGTGTAACAGGCAACGAAACCAAATATAATGAGCAGGGTAAGGCTCATCCACCCACCTTCTTTAACAGCATAAGTTGTAAGGAGTCCTATGCCAGACAGAACATTATTCCTACGTGAAGAAAACAGATGAGAAGCCTTTACAGCATGACAACACATAAGTTGTTCGAAAACTAAAGACTGATGAAATTGTTTCAATACCATTAACAAGTGCTTGTGTAAATGAACACTGCTTCATTGATGGAATGGATTCATGGAAAGATACTCTTTGCAGTGGATCCGGAAAGGTAGATATCGTTAATTGTTCATTTAAAGTTGTTTCAGAAAGGAGTGCTTTACCGAGAACGGAAGCCTCGTCATCGTTACATTGATAGTCGGAAAAGGGAGAAGTACCATTGAAGCTGATGGATGCAGGTGTAATACCTTTGAACATATCCATGGATTCCCTGCATGTATCCAACCATGACAACATGGTTTACTGAGATTTATGCAAATTCTTATAAATCAGTACTAAGTTTTAGCTACACGAGCAACAGCACAACCATTGACTTCAAATGCATGCTTTCGAGCCAGGCATGATTCCGAATGAATTTTATGCTATTGACTACGTTTTGCTCTTTTAGAAAAAATTAGTTTGGCTACACGTGCAACTTAATATATCAGATTCACACAAAGAATAGATAGTTTGTTGCCTACGACACAAATGACAGATATTTATGGTCTGTCCTTAAAATTGAAGTTAGAAATAATTGAACGACCCAGTTGTCATATTGAATGAGTTATAGCATTAGCATAGACTATTCATTATATGATAACATGATTCATAACTACGTACATTGCTTTTCACATGCACCAACATCATGCATAAGATAAATAATAAGATTAGATTATATATTATTAAGAAAACGATGATTAACTTTTCTTTTAAGAGATGTTATTTACTTTGGTTAGGATTCAAATACTTATAAAATATTAATACATAATAAAATAATTGGGGTAAACTAATTATAATTCATTATTAGTCATTTGTAGTAGCTTATAAAGATACGAGTAGATTTTTTTTAAGAAAAAAGATATTAATAAATCATTATTTCTAAATTGGTTGCGAGAGGGAAATAGAGGGGGGAAAACGAAATCTAAAAGGCAATGGAAGGGAAAATAGAAAGAAAGAAAACCTGTAGCTTTGAGGCCACGAAGATGAATCATTTAGTTCAAGGTGATTGCTGGATGAATTTCGCAAAGCTAACCCAGATTCTATACTACCGTCATCTCCATGAATGTTGCCGTGCCATTTCTTCATCGTCTATTTGGACTGCATAATCCCGTTCCACACCAACGTCCTCGTCAATCCTCATGTCTTGTCCTTTTCTTTTCTTTTTCTTTTTTTTTGGTGAAATTAACACTATGTTCTCAACCCAGAAACCAGGGGACGTGCTCTAAACAGATGGCCAGACAATGAAACAAAGACGACGAAGAAGGACAGGGGTGGTTTGCTTTGGTTTCTTCGACTTCAATTTATATGCATCATTTGTCAATGCTGTAAACCTTGGCGTGCATGGAATTGGTGTCTTGTATGATATAAAACCAAATGGTATCTTATCTGATATTCGAACCTATCGCGTGTTTAAATAGTAAGACAGCTACAGTTAAAAGTATATCGGATTCTAATTGTAAGATATTTTAATTACTTGGATTTTATAATACTTATTTTAATTGAAGCTTAAGATTAATATTTTTTATCGAGTAAAATATATTTAATAAATTTAAATAAAAACAAATGATACATGTAGTATTTATAATTTTTCCGTATAAAAATCATATTATCGGAGTAGTCGAGTGTTGTTTTGGATTGTGAATATAAATTACAAGGACCAATCATATTATATAAAAAATACTAATTAATCAGTTAATTGTCACGAGATGTTACGAATGTTTTTATAGAGTTGTGTGACACAAATTTTTTTTATCAGACTCAAGATGATCGTAAAATTAGAAATTTTAGTTTAAGTAGATTTCTTCCAATGCAAGTTTTCTTTGTAAACAAGAAATTTATCCTATAAATACATATTAGGAATTTGAGTTTAGAATAAAGTCGAGTAAATTTTAAATCGTGTTTAGATGGAAATCTTGTTACACTTTTTTCTTTAAATTAGTGAATTTTCTTCCTTTCCATCTATACTTTTTTTCACATTAAATCTTGACGTTTATTTTATAATTATTTTATATTTGTTATTATCATGGTTACATTCTTACAAGTTCATTGCCTAATATACATACAACTTCCCGTGATTAAGGGAGTGTAAAATAGACATTCTGAACATTTAAACTAATGAGATAAACTAATCTAAGCTAAAGTATGTATTGTTTATGCATTCCGTGCAAAAAATCTTGATGATAAAATGCATCTCTCTCATCCTAGGACAAGGATCCGACCTGGACAGATTTTGACCCTAAATTCACTCTCCGAATTATTGCAGCGTTTATCATCTCCATCATCTATGAATATTCTACTCTTTCGCACAATCACAAGCAATGTAAAATGAACCATTAAAGATGCTTCCATTATCACAACGAACCATACAGAAATTTCAGTACTATAAAGATGGGGGTGTTTATCACTTGTACAGAAGAAATTTGGATTAAATCCACAGAAGAGAAGGCAGATTTCATTTGTCAATTTGGTTCAATTTGCCAAGGCCGTTACAACGAGCACATACGATCTGAGCCTGGTCCTTTCGTGCAGCATTTGCCCTCAGTGGAGCTCCAGCTTTACGAACAAAGCCAGCACCGTCACATTCAGGACATCTGAAATTAACAAAAAAAAAAATGAAATTGTGGTACACAGTAACATAAAGGGTGGATTTTTGAGGGAGAATAAGATGGGTTAATTTACGTGTCCTTGCGGGAAAATAAGATCGGAAAAGCTGTTCCGACGAGAGCAACAACGGCTGCGCCGGCGATGAGATAGGTGGTGCCATCAGCTGATACATCTCCGACTGCTGCAATTACTGTTGGAGATCCCTTTTTCTTCTTCCACAAAACACTTGATCTCGGGGGCGCTGCCACGGGGTAACGGGAAGATGGTGAAGGACTCGCCGGAGTTGGCGACCGTTTCAGATTTGTCGCGTACAAAGTTTGCAAAGATGCAAAGGATGCCATTGTTAATTTAGGGTGAAGTAGCAATGAAAAAATAAATAGGGTTTTAGAGTGTGGATGGCAAGTTCTTTACCAGGTGTGGATTTAGATTTGGATAAGGACACGTCAGAACTCAAGATTCTTTGTGGTTTCATGGATAACGATGGTCCCCACCAAAATCTAAGGACTTTTTATTCATGTGATGTCTAATTTTACAACAAAATAGATCAACTAATTATAAAACCCCAAAGACTCAATACACAGACCCAACAATATATAGCCTATTCGAGGCCTAACAGAATCAATGCAGACTCAAAACTAATCAAACGGTTAGATACAAATGAAGCTAGAATAATGAAGTTAAAACATTCTAACATTCCTCTGATTTCACCTATTAGAATACTCTAATACTCTCCTGGTTCTTTTTTTGTTTGAACTTCTTCATAGGACTTAACACCAAGCTAGAATAATTGACAACCAGTTGACCATCTAAGACCTGTTTACGAACAAAGCACATGTCAATCTCAACATGTTTCACAAGGGCATGATGAGTTGGATTCATAGCCAAAGAAACAGTTGAAGTGTTGTCACACCACACAACCGGTTTTCCTAGAACAACACCACCAATTTCATTCAATAGTTGTTCTATCCAGACTAACTCGGACACAGTATTTGCTAGACTCCAATATTCAACTTCACACGTTGACCTTGACACCACATTTTACTTCTTCGACGACCAGGTAATAGGGTTACCACCCAAGTAAATGCTAGCATGTGGTAGATCGACGATCTTCGACTGATGCTGCCCAATCAGCATCTGAATAACAGACCAATTGAAAAGGGTTTCCAGCAGCAAAGAACAACTAATGGTCCAAGGTCCCTTTACGATAACGTAGGATCCTCTTGACAGCTGTCCGGTGTGTAGTGCAAGGGGCATTCATATACTGACTCACCTTATTCACAACATATGAGATATCAGGATGGGTAAGAAACTTATACTGAAGGCCACCAACAACACTTCTATATAAGTGGATGTCAGCAAAAGATTCTTCATCATTTGCAAGGAGTAACCACCATTGGTGTTGGAGTGGGAGTTGACTTCATCATATCAGTACGAACTAACAAATCTTGAACGTACTTTTTCTGATTAAGGAGAACACCTTCAAGATACATTTTTATTTCCATGCCAAGGAAAAACCAAACTGACCCAACTGACCCAAGTATTTAAGAGAAAACTCAGTGTTTATTTGTTGAACAATACTATCAACTTCAACAGCATTGTCCTCAGTGATCATTATGTCGTCAACATGCATACACCATAAGCAACACAGTTGACTTCACAGAAAGCTTAATTAAAAGAGAAGTGTCAGCCCTTGATGTTTTAAAACCAAGTTTGGTTAACAAGAAAGCCTTAAGTGTGTCAAACCAAGCCCTTGGAGCTTGTCCAAGACCATACAATATCTGTGACAAACAAATTGCTCTCCATGTGGTCCTTCCTTCTCAAAGTCACTAGGTTGAACCATGTAAATGTCTTCAGCTAATTCTCCATTTATGAAGGCATTATTACGTCAATCTGACTAATAGTCTACCTCTTCATCACAGTTGTAGCCAACACTGTCTTGATTGTACTAGATTTCATCACAAGACTAAACGTGTCTAAAAAAATCACAGCCTATGTTTGAGAAAAACCCTAGAAACTAAGCGGGCTTTGAACCTCTTTACAGACTCATATGGCTTTCTTTTCACTTTAAACAGACATTTGAATCCAATCACCTTCCTCGTGGGTGACAGGACTTGAAGATCCCACGTGCCATTTTTAGCAAGGAATCATATTCACTATGGACAACATGCTTCTAAGTTGGGTCTTGCAAGGCAACATAATCACTACAACAAAATTGTTCTGTAGCGGCGTTTGGAGAGTAAACGTCACAAAATTTAAGCATATAGCGGCGTTTAAAATTCAAACTCCACAAAATGATACTTTAGCGGCGTTTCTTAAACAAACGTCTCGATAGAGTAGTACTTTAGCTACGTTTTTATACAAACACCGTAATAGGGATCGTTTATAGTGGCATTTTTTTAACAAACGCCGCGATTGAGTAGTCCTTTAGCAGCGTTTTTATACAAATGCCGCAATAGGGATTGTTTATAGTGGTGTTTTTCCAACAAATGTCACGATAGAGTATTACTTTAACGGCATTTTTATACAAACGCCGCAATAGGGTTCTCTGCCACGATAATGTAATACTTTAGCGGCATTTTTATACAAACGCCGCTACAGACACTACACCAAGTTGAACTATAGTGGCGTTTAGAAAGTAAACGCCGCTAATTTTTGTACATATAGCGGCGTTTTCAAAACAAACGCTGTAATAAATCAGTGCATTAGTGGCGTTTTTAGATAAAAACGCCGCAATAAATCAGTTCAGTAGTGGCGTTTTTAAACAAACGCCGCAATAAGTTAGTGAAGTGTTGTTTTTAAATACAAACTCCGCAAGTTTTGGATATTTTATCATCAAAGGTTTCCCCGTTTACCCAACAATAGCTACGATAGGAGGATTTCTATCGGTACTTCTTTTTCCACTCTCTAATTTCTCATTCACTTCTTTGTTTTGTTTCTCTTTAAATTTTAAAATGTATGGGCTTGCTTTAAAATCTTCAAAGGCGTTCTACCTTGGATTTCATTTTCCTTATTTTTTTTTCCAAATTATTTTTGTGATGTTTTAGGGTTTAGGTTATTTATGCAAAGCGGGCCTTGAAGGAGCTCAAGGATCTCCATAAAGATCTTCCTACCTCTTGCAGTGCAGGTTCAATTTGTTCTCTCTTTTACTCCGTTTTGTGCCTTGATTTATTATTCTTTTTCTTATTATCCTCGAGGCTCCAACAATGTGTACAAAACTACAAATATGTTCTAAAGTAAGAAAATAAAAGAATCATTTTTTTGAAATATGATTTAAGAACAACAAGAGTGGTTAGGGGTGCGGTGCAGTGCAAGTTGTTTTGGTTCCTGTTAGTTCTTAACTCAATTGTCCCAGGGCCGTTTCCTACTGTTATGCCAAAGTTTCTTGTTGGGAGGAGAGGTAATGGTTAGATCTAGCTAGTTTCGAGTCTGTTTTGGTTGGGATGCATTGTTGTATGTTTTTTAGGTGCATTGGTGAGAGTTCGATTTGTGTTTTTTTAGGGTGGTTTGTGCTATATGTGTGAAGCTTGGCCCCGGATTGTTTAATTAGGTTTTTGGATTCGGTTGTTTGCTTTTACGATGTAATTTTTTGTTGTAAAAAGTTTAAATCGGAAGTAAAAAGTTCCCAGGTACTAATCTATATGTTTAATTAAAAAAAAGCAAGTTGCAAAGGAGAAAGAAGAAAATTTTGTTATGTGCTAGTTTCATACCAGAGTTCACTGTATATTTAACTTCCGTTGGTGATTCACAACTTCATTGATATAAAAAATGCTTAAACATATTCATCCTTGTATGTATTATCTGATTGGTCATTCCATCTTGATCAAAATATAACTTCTTTGCTTCTTTGGAATGTTCCACTCCTTTGTTATTATTATGTTATGATGTTATTTTGGTTGTACTGGTGAAACCAAAATTACTGCTTTCTTCATTTTAAATATGATTGTCTTCATTGCAATGCATATTAGTTCATGCTTTTTCCATGCTTATTGTTCTTTTGCAATGCAGAGTTAGTTCATGCTTATTGTTTTAAATATTTTTGTTCACTTTCTCTCATGTAAATGTCTTTTTCAGTATAAATGTTTGTAAATGTTCTCTTTATTTTGACTCATGTATTCTTAATTAAATTTTCACAGTACCATCATATGATTATATTGCAAATACTTGTTGGCTCGTAGCCTTTATGCGGTTTTGCTATGATCATTTCCTTTTAATGCAGGAGCATCATTTTTCTATATTGCAACGTGAAACTGAGAAACTTCCACTCTCCCCTGATTTTGTAAAGCCTTCTTGATCCTTGAATGTTTACTTCTTGATCCTTGAATGTTTACTTCTTGATCCTTGAATGTTTACTTCTTGATCCGTTTATTTTTGGGAAAAGTTGTTCAAGATATGAACTAGTTTACAAATAGTTCTGTTATTTTTTTTTCTTTTCACTTCGGGTTCTGAGGTACGAGTTTTAAGGTTATTCATGATGCTTATAAATTATAATTGTGATAGAGCCATTGCAATATATTTAAACTAATTAGATCTAACGACATTTGTCTATGTACCTTGTTTCAAGTAAAGAATATTGATGCTGATCGAGTATATTCAAAACGAAGAAGAAATAGCGGTTAAAATGCTCGAAACTTTGCTAAGATAGCCACTTGACTATGATGCGTGGATTGTACAAGCTTTGAAGTAACTTTTTCCTTTTAGTCGTTTCATACATCAAAACCATTGATCCACTTCTCAAGGAATTTGATGAGATTAATCAACGGTACTTGTGATGTGGGATGCATATACAACTGTTTACAGAGTGCTAGCCGTCTTAACCGAACATTTGGAAACAGATGTTTGCGGTTTAGCTTGTATTCTATCGGGATTACTTCAGTTATTTCTGGTATCTTGTTGATTGTTTTGGATTCTTTGACATACCATCCAACCATTTCTTTTAGTCTTGGATTTTACTTTTTGCTATTGAAGAAACTTTTGTTTTAAATATTTTTGAGAACTGCAATTTTTAAGGATGGTCTTCATAAAATCTTCATACGTGACTTTGTTACAATTATGACCTAGGGACTAAAATGTATGGTTTTGTGCAGTGCCCAGGAATTTCAGATTGCTGGAAGAGCTTGAGAGGGGCGAAAAGGGAATTGGGGATGGAATTGTCAACTATGGGATGGATGATGCTGATGATATATACATGCAGTCATGGCTGGGACTATTATTGACCCCCTTAATGTCAGTCCCTCTCTCTCTTATTCTTTTCAGTAACCGGTGTGTTTGATTTCTGTGATTGTGCAAAGGGGGTTTGAAGAATTTTTGGGTTTATGTAATTGTAAGATAGACCCTAAAACATTAAATTGTAATGCTTTTATTTATTCATTTAG